CAGCAGAGGTGGGGAGAGGCGGGGCTATTGCGCAATCATTATCAGAAAATGATCGTATAGGGCGTACACACGGAGCCGTTGGACCCCCCAGAGCGTTGCGTATGCCGTTCTATCCACCTTGGGACCCGTCATCGTTTCCGCAGTCGTTTAGTGCCGTATGCGGTCGTCCTCGTGTGGCCGAACGGTCTATATGACACTAAACAGTAACGCAAACGACCGTTTTCGTCCTCGTGTGGCCGGGGCCTTAGATTTAGTTCAACACAGACATCAGCAGCAGGTTACAGATGTTATGGCTCGCTGCTTAAAGTTCACAGGATGATTCTTTGTCTCTGACCTTTAACGTCGTGTCCACTCAGATCTCAGCGAACAAATATCAAACAACAAGGAAGCTTTTGAGTTTCCAGAAACATTTTGCAGGTATCATTTCTTTTTGAAAGTTTCTCCCTGCAGCTCTCTGTCGGCTCAGACCGTGTTTTCCAGTTCCCGGCTACTTTTCATCCGAGTGTGCAGGTATAAATAGTTTTGGGTGGGCGAGTTCAGGGCGGATTTTCTGTCTGAAATCTGAGTGCCGACACTCGGTGTGACAGAGAGAACAGCTGGGAAGGAAATGACTTCCTGTGGACCCACTTTGGGACGAGGATTCTGCAGCGTGATGAGACTGAGAACAGCGTGAAGTGAATAGCTCTCATTAAAACAGCTACAATTGCTATCCTCCTGCAGACAATGCTCACAAACTCATCACTGTTTGTGAGGACAGGCGGACAATGAATGGAAATAAACAATAAGGAGACGTGGTGCCAGTTAATGGAGAACCGCAGGGCACAAAACACATCCAAATGTTTATCAGCTGCTGAGTGAGAGCAGAGCGCCTCAGAGCAACGATGTGTGAACGTGAGACAGCAGACAAAATGTCAAAAAACACATTTCATTTTCTTGTTTACAACCAAACTAGATGTGTTTTTAACTGGCACATAGAAATCTGCTAGGTGCATGGGGTCATACAGTACCTTTGTTATTTAAACATTCACTTTACGATACGTATCCACTTTGAGAAGAGGTATCTGCAGCGTGATTGATTGATTGATTGATTGAAAAGTGTATTAACAGCTTGTATATTGGGTACAGTACAGTACAGCTCAAAACATACAATTGTTAAGGGGATGCAGACCAGAGAAAGACTTTCGTCTTGTTTACATCAGGGTCCCCCATTTCCAATTCATCATGTCATTTAAGACATATAAGACATACAGATGGCTTATTTACAATTTACATACAGGTGGTTTTTTACATACAGATTGCTTATTTACAATTTTCATTTTAGATTTCGTTCTAATACATCCTAACCGGACATTTAAGACATACCAAGTCTACAGATATACAGTTAGTAACAGAGTCTAAAATGCGAGTATATACATAGATGGGGGGGGGAAGCTGTCCATTGAACGACAGGTTGAGATTTGTACCATTACCGGGGCCAGTTTTGCAATGCTCTCCCCCGAAGGTGCTCTTTAAGAGAGGTTTTGAAGGTAAGTATAGTTTTACTTTCCTTTACAGTTGTGGGGAGAGCGTTCCACCTTGATGTGGCATAATTGCGAAACGTGTATTCCCCCTTTTTTGTACCAAATCTGGGTTTCACATGATTTGTGGAGCTCCCTCTGGTGTTATGATCATGGTATTCCTTGACCTTTGGGAAGAATTTTGACATGTACATGGGTACCATAGAGGTGTAGTGGATCTTGTAGACCAGGCCCATTGCAAGTAGCTGTACTCTGTCGTCTACTCTAAGCCATCCTAGGTTGTCAAAGTGGGCAGAGGTGAGGTGGGTTCTAGATGAAAGGTCAAGCAGTAGTCTGACCAGTTTATTTTGCAATGTTTGAAGTTTTATTTTTAGCGCCTTGGAGGTGCTATGGTACCATGACGTGCAAGCATAGTCATAGTACCCTTGAATGAGTGCTCCTGCCAGAGTCTTCAGGGTGTTTTTGTTTACCAGAGGAGATCCGGTATAGGAATCTAGTTCTTTGATTGACTTTTTTTATTACATTGGATGCCATTTTGTCACAGGAGAGGTTTGCCTCAAGAATAGATCCTAGGTATGTAATTTCCTTCTTACTTGTGACAATAATGTCGCCCACTGCAACTGAGAAGTCGTCGGATTTGCTGAGATTATGTTTCGAACCGAAGAGAATGGACTCTGTTTTACCCAGGTGTAATGATAATTTATGATGAGACTGAGAACACCATGAAGTAGAAGAAGAATAGCTCTCATTAAAACAGATATAACTGCTATTCTCCTGCAGACAATGCATCCAATCTCATCCTGTTTCTGAGGTTAGCTGAACAATGAATGGTAATTGACAATAACAACATATCCTGACAGTGATTGCAGCCGAGCGAGAGCTGCTGCACCTCGATGTGAGACAGGAGAGATTACAAAATCAATGTTATATTTTCTGGTTTGCAACGAAATTAAATAGATTTTTTAATGGCACACAGATAGTGTGACAGCTATCTGTTGTCATTTGAAGTCATCCTCAGCTTTTTAAAGATAGTTTTCCAACTTAAGCACTGGTATATGTTCAATCAATGTTTTGCTTGTTGTCATATCAGTTAGTTTTGTAACATCTTATATTCAATAGTTTACTTCACAAAAATGCCCCACAGTATTTTAAATACATGAATCACTGTGCACATATGACTCTAGATCAAACTCGAGGCCCGGGGGCCAAATCAGGCCCTTGGTGGATTTAATTTCGCCCCGCAGGATAATTTCTAATTACCATTAGATCTGGCCCTCCGGTATATTGCAGCACACCTTCACTCCATCCTGAGGGTCTCCTCCGCTCAGAGCCTGAGCCCAAACATTGATGACCTTGCTCCCAAGATGAGATGCCAAGTATCTGAGCTAGCATCACAGAGCAGCACACTGAGTTCAATGGATGCTTCCTTCTGCACTTTCTCTCAGGACAACAGGGCATGTTTGGTTTCTCTTTGAGGGGAATAGTTTTGTTGAAGCTGTTGTTGGCCTGTGGGAAAATGTACTCATAAGAAATGACTCTAAGCTGCAGATAGAGCCATAAGAAATGAATGCAGCTGATTATTTAATGTTGTTTTTATAGGCAATCATTTAAGCTTTGTTAGTTCCAGGTTTAATATGTGCAATAAATGGTAAATGGACTGTACTTATATATAGCGCTTTATCCAGTCTTTAAGACCCCTCAAAGCGCTTTACATACTACATGTCATTCACACCCATTCATACAGAGCAGTACCACTTGCTCTAGGACCTAACATTCACACACATTCACACACCGTTGGCCATGCCATCGGGAGCAACTCAGGGTTAAGTATCTTGCCCAAGGATACATCGACATGTTGGCTGCACGGGCTGGGATCGAACCCACAACCTTCTGGTTGAAAGACGACCGCACTCCCTCGCAGCCACAGTCGCCCTTTAAATAAGTTCATTTCAATAAGATCTGCAATAAACATTGAACCAGTCCGGCCCTCCACTAGTACCCATTTTTAATGTTGGCCCACTGTGTGTTTGAGTTCGACCCCCCTGTTGTAGATGAACTACCAGGAAGCTACTGCAAATATCAGTCCAATTAAACAAGTTGGTTTTTTTGCAACCAAAATAGATGTTGTGTTTAATTGCAAGCTGACAAAGACAGTATACAGATGGGCTGCTGTGAAGAGAGTCCTTTGGGTGCACTATTTTGTTGGTTGAAGTTGCTTATTCTGAGTACCTGGAATTGAATCAGCATCTGTATTGGAAGTACACATCGCACATCTGCTCATTTATCCAAAAACAGGATTAGACATGACCTTTAGTTGATGTCCAGGATATCTTTTGGTAGAGAACTTTTAATTCCCTACTCTCTATCCGAGGAGCACATTAGTTTAATATACACTCAGTTGCGGATAATCAAGTCCATCTTGTTACAAGTCGTGCAATAAATCCTTTGTTCACAGACGTTTATAATATTGTCTTTGTAAAACTGTTATAGAGCGGTTCTGTGGAGATATCAATATGTTGTCATTTCGCTGCCTGTTCCCACCCGGTGTCTTTACAATGGACCCCTGAACATCTTGGACAAAAAGCAATTAAGGAGCCATTCGGCTTCGTTTGAAGTAAACACAAGATTTCCTTTTTTGGGATATTGATTTCCAATATGTTGAACATTTACTCCTCAATCCTTCTGCAAATACAGCCAGAGATTACAGAGCCGCATGCAAAGGGAACGTTTGATTCTACAAAAACATCTTCTGCTTTTTCTTTGAAAGACCAGAGACTTGTACCCTGACCTCTGGAAAGGAAAAGTCTTTTAAGAGAGCTACCAAATACTGGCCTTCATTGACAAACCTGTACTCAAATCTAGCTTTTAAATGTGTGTTTTTAATGTATGCTTTTGTTATCTGGTTGTATACTACCTTCTTTTAGCACTTTTCTAAAACCCTTTCTTCTTTAACCCTAACCCTACTGCCAGGTATCTTTCTCAAGTGATCAATATAGTTTTACCTTTACCTATATACCTTTTATAATACAAGACAACTAACATTGTCAGATAAATGTAGAGGGGGAAAAATACAATATGTTACCTATGGTATGCAGTGGAGTAGAAATATGAAGTCAGTCTGTGGCTATAAGTATGGTTTTATTGTCTCGTGCTTTTTCATTCGTTTCTTTTTGTCCTATCGGTTTTGTCTAAATGTATTTATGCTGCTTTTTTATATATGTATTGATGTACAGCACTTTGGTCAACTCTGTTGTTTTTAAATGTGCTATATAAATAAAGTTGGATTGGATATAGTAGCAGCAAATGGAAATACTCAATTAAGTACAAATACCCCAGAATTGTACTCAGTTACTTTCCACCACTGATTACTTCTACTGCATTTTGTGATTTGTCTTCTAATGTGTGTGTGTGTGTGTGTGTGTGTGTGTGTGTGTGTGTGTGTGTGTGTGTGTGTGTGTGTGTGTGTGTGTGTGTGTGTGTCAGGCTGAAGGGGGTCCTGGAGCAGATGGACCGGGGGGTGGTGGACCTCCAGGAGCTCCGCAGGAACCTGGAGCTCGCAGCCGCCATGTTGGATTCTGTCTACACCGACGAGACCAAGTAGGACTGATTATTAATGAACGAATGGATGGATGAATGACTGACTGCTGTTTCCGTCCTCCAGGCGTCTGTTGGACACGGAGGACGAGCTCAGCGACTTCCAGGCGGAGTCTGTGCCCAGCGAGGTCCGTGATTGGCTGGCCTGTACCTTCACCAGGAAGATGGGCGTGGCCAAGCGTCGCCCCGAGGAGAAGCCGAGGTTCAGGAGCATCGTGCACGCAGTGCAGGCTGGGATATTCGTAGAAAGGTAAGAAAACAGGGAAAGCTGCAGCAAAGTAACTCTAAAAACCGAGTCATGGGTTTAGTAGATTCCACTTCAGAAATAAATAAATAGTTTTTTACCTCAACTTATTTTAGTTAGTTTACAGCTCATTTTATAAATCGGTCAAAAAATGTAACTTACAAATGTAATGATTTGGTTGGTTCAACTTAATTTAGTTTTTAAAGGTGAAAGCTAAGGATGTTAGCAGTACTGAACTAATGGTACTCGGATTAACTTAATAATCGATTCAATTGGAAATACTTAAAAAGTAATTGTTACCTCAATTTATTTAAGTAGAGCCGGTCTATTTTTTTTTTGTATATATACTACTAACTATTATTTTAACGCGATTAACGCATGTGTATTTTTTGTCCTCGGCCGCCCCGTAGTTTCAGAACGCATCGAGTTTAAAATACCATCTACAAGCTGATGCTGACAGCCCCGCTCCTGTCCGCCCGCTTGTGGCAGACCACACTTCCACGCTCACCGGCAGGCACCGACCGGCCATCGGGAGGCCCGGGAGGGTGTGTGTATGTGTGGCCCGAGCGAGCGAGAGAGAGACCTTACGTGCATTGTTGTTGTTAGCATCTGGTGCTAGCTAGCTGCGCTAACGGATATAAGGAGCTGCTTAAATGAAAACAGAGGAGCGACATTTCGCCGACAACTGCGCCGAGCACTTGACTTTATGCAGGAAGCCAGACAGTGGGACATTGTACGAGAAGTCAGCACACTCAGCACGGATAGTGCGCAACATGATTGCAGCGTCCAGGCAGCTCCCGTTCGAGCATATGCCTTGAGTTGCACATAGCTCCAACGATCCAACATCTCACACACACACACACACACACACACACACACACACACACACACACACACACACACATACACATACACACACACACACACACACACATACACACACACACACACACATACACACACACACACACACACACACACACATACACACACACACACACACACACACACACACACACACACACACACACAGAGGTTGTTGTGTTTAATATTCATGAGAATATTTGTCATTGTTCAAATGATAATAAACATTAGCATAAAGCATATTTGTCCTCTCATATGTTGATAAGAGTATTAAAAACTTGACAAATATTCCTCTAAGGTACATTTAGAACAGATCAAAAATGTGCGATTAATTTGCGATTAATCTCGATTAACTATTTGAATCGACTGACAGCCCTAAAATATACACGAACTCACACATTCATGCATTCACACACAACCTCACACATAAAGATCTCTGAGCCAAATGATAGCCTCCTAGTGCAAAGAAAAAAACACATCCGCCGAAAGATGTGGGAACTTTTGTTGATCGACCAAAACAACAGCTTAAAAAGTCAACAAAGAAATTCAATAGTTGCAAAAAAAAGGATTATTATGTATTTATTTCAACATGGGCCGTGCATACAAATACATTCATCCCAGAAAAGAGATGAGTTATGCCAGCGTTGAGCTAACAGCTCATCTGCAGTCCTTAGATTTAATAAGAGAAATGTACTTTTGCCACTTTATTTGTCATGCGAACTTTCCACTTACAACCCCTTATTTAGACATTGAGGAAACAAAGACGTATGCATAATGTTTGATATCTGGAGAAGCTTGTAGAGCAGAGCAGGATTTCTACATGAATCATTTGAAAGCCGTCTGAACCAAAGTAAACCCAGAGGAGAGTGTCTGAGCCGCCATCTGTGAGAGCAACACATCCAGCCTCCACAAGACTTCACACCTCTGCACACATATATATTATATGTTTGAAAATCTGGCCAAAAGAATATGTAAATGCCTGTTCCGTGCACTTTGAGTCTGGGTCTGTTGTATGCTTCATTCTGCAGCGAACAAGAACATTTGAGACATTATTTCCTTCGGACTCTGTGTCATTCGCTTGTTTGTGTTATTCATGTTTTAATGTAATGCACAAACTCAGCTCTATGAAGAAATGGAGAATACGTGGAGTTCGGTGTGGAAGAATAGACTCTGCACACACCTGTTTCTAATATGATCAGGTTATTAAATGAGTGGCAATCAGCCTGCACGATGTAGGTCTGCTACTCGTTTATGGTGCTGTCGTTGATTCATTGAGTTGAA